GGAATTAGAAGCACCTGCCCTTACCTTACATATCATTGCAAAACCAGAAATGCAACTCTAGAAACAACTCAAAGTCCACCTATTCTTTCTGCCAATCCCAAAACCTCCCTTATTTATCTCAAAAGGCCTGTAGGCACTGTAAAAATTCTGGCATTAGGAAATGAGTCCATCTGGGAAGAACTTGCCTTCTTTTTCTGTGCCATTCAGATGTAAATATTCTACCTGGTCTTCTTCAGGAACTCTTATCTAGGCAATCTCTTATAAGGGCAAACTTCAGGGAGATAATGCTCATCAGAAGGAAAAAAAAAAGAGCAGGAAAGGCTATTTTGGAAATGGGGTGAATTAAAAAAATCTTAAGTGTCTTCTCCACAAATATTGGTAAAAAGCTTTAGCCATCTGAGCAGGTAAATTTAACTTATCCCATCTGCCACAAACACAGTTTGGATCCAACCTTTTTTATAACTAGCGAGTTTTGTATTATTGTACATAATTCATGGCTAAAATTTCAGACCAGAAGCTATAAGGTCTCTGCTTGTGCCTCTCTATACGTTTATATGTGTCTATATATGTATGTTGTAGACGTGTGATATTTTTCTACACACAGATGGTATTGTTAAAGTTAATTTGTAAAAGAACTCTATTTAATTGGCTTAAAAACAAACAAGCATTTACATGACTTCTACAGGGGTTTACTAGTCAAATTAGTTCACATTATCTCTGTTACAAAATTTGTCAGCAAGAAAAATAAACTGGTATGATGAAATTTTCATGAGTAATCTAAACATAATTTTGAGAACAAGTGATTTAGAAAGATGTAAGCAGGACAAGAGTTTTTGGGTGAACTTTTTGGCAATAATTATATTTTATGGTATGTCTACTTAAATGGTTTCCTCAAATTGTTTTGGTAACTTGAAACCTTAGCATTTTCTAAGTTAAATTAAATGATGGATAGTCATTAAATATCTAGATCACTTCTAAATAAAATAGAATATTGAGATATTACTGAACACAGGTTTATCTACTTTTGTCTTCTTATTACTCAGAAACTGAAGATATCTGGGTCTATTAGCAAGCATGTTTCATGCCACATTAAAAAATTTACTATGAAAAACAATATACCTCTAGAAATTATAATATGTATTAATAAGTCTTGCCAAGCCACAGAATGCTAATAGAAAAGACAATTAACAATTGTTTACTTCTTTTTTCTTTAAGATTTTATTTTTCCTTTTTCTCCCAAAAGCCCCCTGGTACATAGTTGTATATTTTTAGTTCTGGGTCCTTCTAGTTGTGGCATGTGGGACGCCGCCTCAGCATGGCTTGACAACTGGTGCCATGTCCACTTCCAGGATCCGAACCTGCAAAGCCCTGGGCCCTGGAAGCGGAGTGTGCAAACCCAACCACTTGGCCACGGGGCCAGCCCCTATTGTTTACTTCTTAATTTTCACTAGAAATTAAGATTTTTAAGAGTTAGGAATGCTAATATATGTAATTAAGCCTACCACAAATCATAAAGAAAATATCTCTGTATGTGAGGAAAGTAGGATGTGTGCTTTTGGTAAAAGAAGGTATGAGAAATGAGGATGCATTTTCGTTGAGGGAAAAAATAAAAAATTTTTTCCTAAAATGAGGCTAGTCATTTCAGAATGGGAAAGAGGAAAACAGAGGACAAAATCTGAATGTAAAAAGGAAAGTTTTAGAAAGTTTGTGGATAAAGGAATTTGGGAAGAGAATTTTATGCATGGCCAAGTTGGCTAAGACTAGAATGAATTTACTTAAGTATAAAAAAATGAGTTTTAATATCAAAAGTATACTGGCACAAAATTGGAATTCAGTTTTCTCTCTGTTAAAAGGACTGAGTTTTCTTGGACTTCTGGTCTTTTTTTTTTTTTTTTTTTTTTTTTGCCAAGGAAGATTAGCCCTGAGCTAACATCTATGCTAATCTTTCTCCACTTTATATGTGAGTCACCACCACACATGGCTAACAAATGGTATAGGTCCACGCCCAGGATCCAAACCCATCAAAACAGAGCATGCCAAACTTAACCACTACACCTTGGGGCCAGCCCCATTGGTCTTTTTGGTAACAGATTATGAAAATTTCTTTTCCTTTTAAGTAATCTGCCTAGACAGCAAAGATTTTGTATCTTACTAAAATAATTTCCTGTACTTCATTTTGTCTTTATTAGATCTTTGATTTCTTAGGAAAATTGTCTTCTCTATTAAAAGAACTATGGGTTTCTTTTCAACTATGTAACTTTCTGTATTTGCATGGAAGTCTTTATCGTCATTTTGGTTAAATAGATAACTAAGTATTGCTTCACAGTGACCTATGATCCTATCTAATCAAATGTTTTAAAATCTTGTTGATATTTTTGACAAACTTCTCAAAATCAAAATCTAATCTTTTTGACCTTGAACTAACTTTGGGATTTTCCAAAGGGCCCTAGAACATTTCTTTTGGTTTTTTTTTTTTAAAGATTTTATTTTTCCTTTTTCTCCCCAAAGCCCCCCGGTATATAGTTGCACATTTTTAGTTGAAGGTCCTTCTAGTTGTGGCATGTGGGACGCTGCCTCAGCATGGCCTGATGAGCAGTGCCATGTCCGCGCCCAGGATCCAAACCGGCAAAACCCTGGGCTGCCGCAGCGGAGCTTGTGAACTTAACCAGTTGGCCAAGGGGCCGGCCCCTGGAACATTTCAAATGAAGTGTTCTCTCTCCTTATAAAATCAGAGATGTTAAACTACTTAGGCTTATTTGACATGTTAAATTACATGAGAAGTATTGTCAAATCAGAAGTAATACTAAGCCTTCTCTATGTTGTATTTGTATAGGTATATTAGTGTTCCAGCAATTGTATGAAATTCCCGAGAATCTGTTACGTCCTGGTATAACGTTATCAGTCATAATTCCAGTTATTATCTTAAAACGTGTGTCACAGAAATAACCAAATTTCCTTGTCAATTCAATTATATTGAATTCTCATCAGATCTTCAGTCATGGGCATTTTTAACTCTTCTGTCACTTACAGTTATTGTTTTACTCTGACGCTCTTACAAAAGTGAGACTCCTGGAAAGGAACTACCAGAAACTCTTTATCACTGACATCACTGCCAAATTACAAGGTGTTGAACCTTGGGTGCATATTTCACAACTGAAGAAGGTCCCACCTGACATTTGGTCCTGTACAAATGCTGGAGAAATCTGGAGAAACTAGGAGGAGAAATAGCTGACGCCAAGGAAGACTGCTTCCACCCAAGACGCCAGATCAAGACCTCAACTAAACATGAAACCCTTCTTTAGTCTCTTTTTTTCCCTTACTCTAGAATTGGCCTGGAAAGATAATGCCATCACCGTCTCTCAGGCCATTGCAAAGGGTGGGGGAGGGAAGTAATCTAACTTCCAAATGACTGTTGGATTTGCCACAGTGCTAGTGATTTCTAGTGCCTCAGTTTCTCTAAAACAAATTCAGCCCCCTCTCCATTGTGTCAGACTCCCTAACCCTGGGGGTTTCCCTGTCTCTACTTAACAACACCAAACCCGGGGAACCTCGTGTCCAGGTTCTGTACAAAGATAAAGACACAAGGCAAGGGTAGCCAGAATAAAACTGCCTGTGTGGTCTACAGACCCTTACATTTTACTGGCCTCCATGTCTGTCACCTTTCTAGTCCTGAGCCACAGACTCAAATGAGAATTACCAAGACGTATCCACGATTCAAAATTCGCTTCCTTTGGTAGATCACTGCTCCCCTGGCCAGGAGTAAGTGCAAATGAGGCTATGATCAGGAACCTCTCACTCTCCAGCCAAAATTGTTCTTAATATGATAGCCCTTCATTATCTCTTAGCTGAGCAAGGAGGGGTCTGTGCTGTGGCCAATACCACTTGCTGCACCTGGATTAACACTTCTGGGAAGTTGAAACTCAGCTCCATAAGATCGCTGAACAAGCCACTGGGCTTAAGAAAGTGACTCCTTTAATGGAGGTCTTTCTTTGACTAATTTGATTTTGATTGGTTTGGGTCCAGGGACCATGGTTCCAAAGTGCACTCCAAACATTGGGAAATATCCTTCATATAATAATCATACTAGTCCTTTAAACGCATGTTCGCAGCCACTAACCACCAAGCAAATGATGTCCCTAAAGCTGGAACATCAGAGAAGAAGTGACTTAAAAAATGTGAACCCGAAGTGGTGACCTGTAAATACCACATAGAGGTTCAGCAAAAACTGCGAGAACCCTAGAGTGGTAGGTAGGAGGGGCGCTAATGCCCTAAATTTTGATCATCTCTCTCAGTTAAGCCGAGAGTCTGATCAAAAGGGGAAAACTATTAAAAAAATAAAATAAAAAAGACAACAGGCCCAAAGTACAATCACTTGTGCTAAGCCCACTTCACCAAACTGAGACTTCACACCTAACTTCACACAGTTTCGAGCTCTCCCAGAAATGGAATCTTCAGTCAATCAGGAATTACCCGGTCAGCACAGGTCAGGTCATCTGCCACACAGACCCCTGCCATCCCCTAAAGGAAAGTGACCTTGCCACAACCAATCTGCTTTTTGCTAGTATAACTTCTTTGTCTCCACTCCCTTCTGCCTATAAAAGTCTTTCATTTTCTACAGCCCCTTGGAGTTCCTCTCTGTGTGCTAGATGAGATGCTGCCTGATTCATGAATGATTGAATAAAGCCAATAAGATCTTTAAGATTTACTCAATCGAATTTCGTTTTATGACATTTGTATACAATTCATTCAATAACCTAGCCTTCCTTCACACCCATGTTTTCATTATGTTCTACATTTCTTATTATATCTGTTTTTCTATTAAATCTTGATATATCTTTTATTAGAACCATGGAACCACAGGACTTTGGCCAGTGTCAGGAATCTGGCTGAAAGGAAGGCGAGCTACGGGTCTAAGGCTAGCAGGCAGAACGACAGCCAGTCTAGCCACTGTTTGGGGTTTCCTTCCTCCTGCAAGTCTGCAACAAGGAGCAGTTACGGAAAATAGGCCCTTGAATCGCTGAGTGTGTATCTCTCGAGTGTTTGTTAGGTAGTTGGGGGGCGGGGGGTGAGGATAGGAGGGATGCTGAGAATCTGTCTCTCTTAACCAGGCAGAGTCATTATTTCCAGGATCTAGTCTGGTTTCCTTTATCTCACCCTAACTACCCAAATCTTCCTTAAAATGGGGTTACAGGGCGCCCCCGCCCTCCTCCTCCAAAACGCTTGTTACCTACCCTTGCCTGCAGTCTCTCTGAGACCGAGGCTCCGAACGAACAGGGAATAGAGTGACTGGATTCGGGCTGGCGGTTGCGATGCGAGGATTCGGAGGCAAACGGCTGGGTGGGTAGGGGGAAGGACCCTCTCCGGGAGCGGCTTGGCGCCCCCGCAATGTCCTCGGCGCCCACCAGAAGGCGCCCGGGCGCCCGCATTCCTTGCGCGTAGCCGGAGCCTCCGCCGCAAAGAGCCCGGGAGTCGAGCCGCGCGGCGCCGCGATCTAAGAGCCGGGTGGCGGCCTGAGCCCTCCCCGCCCGGCAAGTGGGACAGGGTGCCGGGAGCCCGGGCTTTGTTCCAGGGCTGGGGTTCCCGTTTCTCAACTCAGCTCACCACCCCCGCTGGAAACGCCAAGAACTACCCCACGCCGCGGTCTACAAAGCCCAGAGAGCCCGAAGGCGGGAGGGGTCGGGCGCGCTCGGGAGGCAGGCGGACCCCCACACTCTCCGGCTCACTCCCGGCTGCCCCATCAGGCCGCCTCCAGCCCCATGAGGACACCCAGGCCGGGGCTGAGAGCCTGGCGCAGCCCGGACCGAAATCTTGCGGCGGCCTTAGAGCGTTAGACAGGTCAGTGCCCGGGCGGGATGAGGGGCCGCGCTGGAGGCGGGAGGAGGCGTGCTCGCCGGTCCACCCTGTCCACCGCACAGTCTCCCGAGGCCACTCACGGGTCACCTCCGCCAGGAGTACCCAATAACGTGGGCGTGATTCTGCATTTTTCGTGACAGGCAAGGTGTGGAGCTGCTCTCTGCAGCTCCCCCCGCCCCCAACCCTCGAGACCAGGTGATGCTGGGACCTAGGGGTGGGGGGACGCGCGGGCCGAGGTGGGGGGCGGCGGGCGTGGGGACGGGCGCCGCTCTAATAAAGCGGTGCTCTTCTACTTACGCGCGGCCGCGTCGAAACCACCGCATCCAAAGATCTTTGGCATCAAGATGCCGGGCCTCGGGCGTGAGAGGAAACCGAGATGCGGGAGAGGGCGAGAAGAAAGGAGGCCGGGAGACCCGAGGCCGGGAGAGTGAGGGGAGAGGGCCCGGGGCGGGGGGAACGATTCGCTGTGCAAATCCTAGCGCGCGAAATGTGGAGAGCGCCCTGAGGAGCAGGCAGGAGCCTCCGGGACGGCCGGGGTCTTTGGTCCCAGCCCACGCCTCCGCTCCCCATCTTCTCACCCTCCCACCCCTACCGCCCACCCAGGATGCGGCTGGGCCGCCGGGCCCTCTGTATGCTGGTCCTGCTGCTCGCCTGCGCCTCGCTGGGGCTCCTGTACGCGAGCACCCGGGACGCGCCGGGCCTCCGGGCACCTCTTGCACTGTGGACGCCCCTGCAGGGCCCCCCCAGGCCAGAGCTCCCAGACCTTGCCCCCGAGCCCCGCTACGCCCACATCCCGGTCAGGATCAAGGAGCAAGTGGTGGGGTGAGTGCCAGGAGCGGTTGCGGCAGCGCACTCGCTGGGGGGTGGCGAGGCGAGCTTTTGTTTCCTCTACTCCTGAGCTCTGGTGCCTGGGTTCTCCCGAATGGTTTGGGGGGGGGGGGGGGGGG